CCCCTTGACCTGTCCGTCCTCCCTGGACTGACCTATCTCCTCCCTACCTCCCCACCTACACTCACCTTTACTGGCTCCACCCCCGCCTCTTTGACCTGTCTGTCTCCTGTCCACCTATCTTCTCCTCTATCCATCTTCTATCCGCCTTCCCCTCTCTCCCTATTTATTTCAGAACCCCCTTCCCCTCCCCCATTTCTGATGAAGGGTCTAGGCCCGAAACGTCAGCCTTCCTGTTCCTAATGATGCTGCTTGGCCTGCTGTTCATCCAGCTCTACTGCTCAGGACCTTACCATTTACTGTATAAGTCCTACCTTGGTTTGACTTTCCAAAATGTAGCACCTCACACTTCTCTGCATTGAATTGCATTTGCCAAAGTTCACTTCCCCATCTGATCAAGATTCTTCTGTAATTTTTGATAACCCTTCTTTGCTATTAACGAAACCTCCTAATTTTGTATCATCCACAAACTTACTAATCATGCCTTGTACATTCACATCCAGATCATTTATGTAAACAACAAATAACAAAGGTCCCAGCACCGACTCCTGTGGCACACCACTAGACACAAGCCTCCAATCCAAGAAACACCCTTCAAACATCACCCTCTGCTTCCCACCATTAAGCCAGTTTTGAATTCGATTAGCTCGCTTTTGCTGGACCCCATGAAACCTAACTTTCATGACTGACCTGCTGTGTGGGACCTTATCAAAGGCCTTACTAAAGTCCATATAGACAACATACAATGCCCTACCTATATCCATTCTCTTGGTTACCACTTCGAGAAACTCTGAAAGATTTGTCAGAAATGACTTCCCGTGCACAATTCCCGTGCTGACTATCCCTGATCAGACCTTGATTATCCAAACGTTGGTTGATACTGTCCCTCAGTGTCCTCTCCAATAACTTGCCTACCACTGATGTCAGGCTCAGTGGCCTGTAGTTCCCTGGCTTGTCTTTGCTACCTTTCTTAAACAATGGAACAATACTAGCCACCCTCCAATCTTCCAGAACTTCACCAGTGGCTAAAAATGAAGCAAAAATCTCTGTAAGGGCCTCTGCCATTTCTTTCCTAGCCTTCCACAACGTCTGAGGATGGACTTGATCAGGTCTAGGGATTTATCCACCTTAATGCATTTTAAAGCTGCAAACACCTCCTCTCTCGTGATGTATATGCAGTACAAAACATCCCCATTTGTTTCCCTTATTTCCTTAGCATCCATGATTCTCTCCTCAGTAAACACTGAGGAGAAATATTCATTAAAAATCTCCCCCATCTCCTGTGACTCCACGCATAGATAGCCATGCTGATCTTTAAGGGGAGTTATTCTCTCACTAGCCACCTTTTTACTCTTAATATAGCTATAAAACCTTGTGGGATTATCTTTAACCTTATCTGCCAGATCTATCTCATACCCTCTTTTTGCTCTTCTGATTTCCCTCTTGAGTGTGTTCCTACACTTTTTATAGTCATCTAGGGATTCACTTGAGCCCAGTAGCTTAAACCTGAAGTTTGGCTTCTTCTTTTTCCTGACCAGCGCCTCAATATCCCTCGTCAACCAGGGAAGTCTAAACCTGCCAGCTTTTCCCTTAACCATAACAGGGACATATTGTCCCTGGACTCTTGATATCTCATTTCTAAGAGCCTCCCATTTGCCAGTCATTCCTTTTCCTTCAAATAGACTCCCCAGTCGACCTCTGTTAGATCCTGCCTAATGGCCCCAAATTGGCCCTGCTGTAGTTCGGCACCTTAACCTGTAGACCTATCCTACCTTTTTCCATAACTGTGTCAAAACTAAGAGTGTTATGGTCACTGGACCTAAAGTGCCCTCTGACTGATACTTCAGTCACTTGGCCGACCTCGTTTCCTAACAGGAAGTCCAGTGTTCCACCCTCCCTTGTAGGGCCCTCTACATACTGATTTAGGAAACTTTCTTGGCTGTCCTCAGGATCTTCTGTTTTCTTCCTGGTGTTTGTTTGTCTCTCTATAATTCTAGCATACTATTCCACAGGCATCAGCAAATGGAATTACCACTGTTGAGTATGTGTACTAGGGAGTGGAACTATCACAGCCAAGCCTGAATCTGTAATCATCCCTACGGCACAGACTAGGGATTGAATCTGCAACATTCTAAGTCTAAATTGTGGCTTCGACTTCATTTTCCTGTCTTACTCCTCCACCCTTTCACTCCCTCATTTATCCCTATTCTCAGCTGACATGATACATCAGTCACAAATCTGTCAAACTTTGATTTATATATTTTCAATGAATCGGCCTCCATTACACTTTGGGGAAGAGAATACCACAGATCAATGACTCTATGAGAGAGAAAACAAATCTTTTTATCCCCATGTTAAATGGGAGACTCTTAATTTTTGAACTGCGTCTCCCGGTTCTAGTCTTTGGCATGAGAGAAACAATTTCTGAGCATTCACCTTATCAAGAGCCCTGGTATACTTTATGTTTTAATAAGATAATCTCTCATTCTTCTAAATTCCAATAGATACAGGCCCAATCCATCAAACTATCCATATGAGATAAGCCCTTCACAGCCCTGAGTGAATCTTCTCTGAAATACTTCCAATGCTAATACAACCTTTCTGGAGTAAGGAGTCCAAAACTGCACTCAGTAGTATGTACCACCCCTCAATCCCAACCCCAACTTTGCAAATATAAGAAAGGGCAGGTGTTGGAGCAAGACTTGGGATTTTGACTTCTTTTGACATTTATTGCCACAAGAGGGTTGCTTTCCATCATGGTGAAAATCAGAGCCAATAACTGTACCACAACCTCAATACTCAGCTATGATCAAGTAACTGTATTTCTGGCCTCATACCCACAAAGATGTGTTTTCATTATTATTTACTGTTTCTTTGCAGGCAATATTTAAGGAATATGACAAGGATAATTCTGGCATGATTAACAGCTATGAAATGCGCTCAGCTGTGAATGATGCAGGTAAGTGGGAATCGATCTGCATTGTTTACTGATGGGAGTTAGACTATCATACAGGTGATTTTCTGTTCATTTATGGGCTATAAGCATTGCTGGCTGGGCCAGCATTTAGTGCCTGTCCATTGTTACCTTTGAAAAGGTGGTGGTGAGCTGCCTTCTTGAACTGCTGCTGTCCACGTGCAGTACATTCACCACAATTCCCTTTGGGAGGCAATTCCAGGATTTTAACCCAGCGACAATGAAGGAACAGCATATATTTCTAAGTCAGGATGTTGAGAGTCTCAGAGGTGAACTTCCAGGTGGTAGTGTTCCCAGGCCTGCCGTAGTGCTTTTAAATGGAAGTGGGTCGTGGGTTTGGAAGACACTGTCTAAGTAGTTACATCCACAGTAAGGGTGTTCCAGATCTTGGATCCTGTAACAGTGAAGGAACAGCAATAGATTTGCAAGCAGGATGGTGTGTAGCTTGGAGGCCAACTTTCAGATGGTGGTGTTTCCTTACATCTGCTGTCATTCACCTTCTAGGTGATGGAGATCACACATTTAGAATATGCTATGAAAGGAGGCCTGAGGAGTTGCTGCAGTGCGCTGCACACTGCTGTAACTGTGCACTGGAGGTGGTGGGCATAAATATTTAAGATGCTGGGTACGGTGCTGATTGAGGAATTGTTTTATCTGGATGGTGTTAAGATTATTCAGTTCTATTAGAGCTGAACTCATCAAGAAAAGTGTTGAGTATTCCATCACGGGAATCCATCCTGATTGCTGCCTTGTAGATGTAGAAAGGCTGTCTGGAGTTGAGAGGTGAGTTACTTATTGCAAGATTCACAGCCTCTGACCAACTTTTGCTGTCACAGTGTTTATATGGCTGGTCCAGTTTTCTGGAACTGGAGGGAGACGTTTGGTGAGACTACCTGAGAATTTAGTAAGCTTTTTTTCTATTTTGTTCTTCAGGTTTCCGCCTGAACAGCCAGCTCTATGAGATCATCTCCATGCGCTATGCCAATGAAGATATGAATCTGGACTTTGACAGCTTCATCTGTTGCCTTGTGAGACTGGAGGGAATGTTCAGTAAGTGCAACACTATCCGCAATGAATATTCCTCTGTTATAAGGAACTTTTGCAGTCTTTATGGTGAATTGGGTTGAACACTTTTGTAATCTGGGTTTATAATCAGCACCACCTTGATATGGTGAAGCCCTGTAATCAGTATTCCCTGCCCCCTGTGATTTCTCCTATTGTCCCCTCACTAGACCCACTGCACTCTTTGGTCGCTTTCTTGTGCTGCAGTTATCTTTTCCTGATAGGCCTTTACCCCATCAATCAGGCTGCCTGTGGACAGGATACAAAAGAATACTGTAGGATACTCCGGAATTCATTTTTCTAGTTTTCCCAACTTCTAAACAGCTCCTCACATGGCACATCCCTCTAGGTTACATTGCAGGCCTCAGTTTACATACTTCAAAGCCATCAGAGAATAATTTCTCAAATTGGTTATATATTCAAGGGTAACGATGAACAGGGAGGTAGAAATTTAGAAGTTCAATCTTTGGGCAATCACATGTCTCATGATTCTGAATAATGTAAGCAAGAGCTCAGAGTAAGCATGTTTGACCTTCTCACTTACGGGGTTGGTATATGACCCAGACAGCAATGGGTGCAAAGTGGTGAGGTGGTGACAGACTTAAGTATTTTAAAGAACAATGTGACATTGCAACTGCCCTGCATTAACTAATTCTGTAGTACTTGCTAAATTGATAAATATGGAACTGAGCCATAAAATTAACGAGGCACAAGGTTGATTCTTGATCTCTACCGTGTTAGCAGATTTAAACTCGAAAACTGTAGGATTAAACAAATTACAACATTGAAGCAGGCTATTGAACCAACTAGTCCATGTTGATGTTATCCTCCACACAAACAGTTTGCCTACCATGACCCCATGTTTCCATTATCATGTTTCCCGGATGAGGACAGACTGGGATTTGGTTGTGATGGCCTCTTACAATGTTCAATAAAAGAACAGCAATCGATTGTCAGCTGGCTAGGCTTACACATGAGTGAAGTGCTGGCAACTTACAATTATGGAACCATATTCCAGTATGAGTCAGAGGAGCAAATTAGACAAGGAAAGAAGTTACATTTGTTATATACCCAAAGAGAAAATCTTTTTACATCTTTCAAATCTTTGAATGATCTCTATAATGGCTCTAGCTCTAAAACAATGAATATAAAGGCCAGAATTGGTTCCCTTTCTAACTGTGTGATTACTGTATGATATTATTGAATAGGGTTTGTAAGAGATGCCTGAGGCCAAATGGAAGTAGAGAACACTTGACAGTTACATGTTAATTGAAGGTAAATTGGTGAGAACTTGACCATAGTGGAAGCAAATAATCAGTAGTGTTGGTGTTGTGTGAGCTGAATAAACCTCTGACCAGAAAAGCATATGATTGAACTCTGACTAACCAATATTTTAAACGTTGATGTTTAACACTCTGTTCTCAAAATTATTGGGCTTAGTCAATATTAAAATCAGTTTGTGCCCAATGTTGTTTTTTTAAAAAAACACACTGTCTTTACTTATGATTTGGATGAAGGGATCAAAGCTAGCTAAATAGACTAATGACACAATTATAGGTAGGTAGGCGAGTTTTGAAAATAACATAAGAAGCCTACAAAGGGATATAAATAGGTCAAGGGAGTGGACGATGATCTGGCAAATGGGGTACAGTGTTGGAAAGTGTGAAATTGTCCATTTTGACAGAATCAAAAACAAAAATGATATAATCTAAATGCTGAGAAGTTGCAGACTCCTGAGATGTAGAGAGATCTGGATACTCTAGTGAATGAACCACAGATGGTCAGTGTGCAGGTTACAGCAAGTAATCAGGAAAGCTGATAGAATACAGCCCGATGGCCTAAACATGAATTTTACCAATTTTAAAATCTCCCCACCCTTGGCCTCATCCCATGTCCAACCATCCCTCTCATCCTGCCTCCTTGACCTGACACAACCTGTCCACCTTCTCTCCCACCTATCCACCCCTCCCACCTCACTGACTAATCCCCACCACTCTCTACCTGCCCTCAACTACCACCATCCCACCTACCTTCCCCAGCCCCACCCCTCCTCTCTATTTATTTCTGAGCTCCCTTCCCCCTCTCTATTTCTGAAGAAGGGTCCTGACGCGACAAGTCAACTTTCCTGCTCCTCTGATGCTGCCTGGTCTGCTGTGTTCCTCCAGCTCCACATGTGTTATCTCTGACTCCAGCATCTGAAGTTCTCGCTATCTATAAGCTAAATGGATGCTTTGGATTATTGTGAAGGGAATTGAATGAAGGAGCATGGAAGCTATGTTTTAGTTACAGAGGTCATTGGTGAGACCACAACTACAGGATGACAGATTATCAAGGGATATACAGGAATGTAGAGTTGAAATTAAAATAATAATCTTATCGAATAGTGGAGCAAGCACAAAGGGCCAAGTTGCCTATTCTTCTTTGTCCATATGTTTGTATGTGTTCATTGGGTCCTTTTTGATCTTCAGGAACGTTTCATGCCTTTGATAAAGATGGAGATGGAATCATTAAACTCAGTATTCTGGAGGTAGGTGCAACTCAGGTAATGAGTATATTTCTTTATCAGGACACCAAGAGCGCACATGTTGTTTAAAAGAAACTATGGCTTTTTAGGACATTTCAAATCCTGGCCTATGCATCCTTAGATGTACATTTTTCAAGATTTTTAGGATATTATGCCTTCCCTTTCATAGTTATCAAGTAGTATGATATAGCCATCATAGATACAAGGTTGCAAAGTGACCATGGCTGATACTTGAATATTCAAGAGAATTTGATGTTTTGGAAGGACAGGAAGAGTGGAACAGAAGGTGGGGTAAGTCTTTATAAAGAAAACAGCAGAGAGAAACTTTGGTTTGGAGTATCACAATGTAGAATCAGTTTGGTTGGAAATAAATAGTGAAGGAAAAACACAATGGGTGCAAGTAGCTTTTTGGCCTCCTGACAGTAGCTATACTCTTGGACAAAGCATGAGTCAAAAAATAATGGGACTTGGAAGAAGGAATTGTAATGCTGGTGGACAATTTTACTTTTCATAATTCGATAAATCAATTTGGAAAATATTGCCTGAAGGAGCACTTCATTTGGGACAGTTGTTAGAACAAAATCTTGTGGAACTTTGAACAAGTATTTGTATCTGGCTTCACAACAGAAGATACTCCAAGCATTCTAAGATTAGTAGAAGATCAAATGGCAAAAGCGAAATAATCACTATCATTAGAGCAAACTTGTTTGGCTAACTGATGAGATTAAAGGCTGACAAACCCCCTGGACATGATGACTTACATCTTAGTGTTTGAAACTAAATGACTGCAGAGATACTACCTGCATTGTTTATAATCGTTCAAAATTCTCCATGTTCTAGGAAAGTCCCAGCTGATTGGAAAGCTATTTAAGAGAGGAGAGAAACAGTAAACAAAAAACTATATCTATCATTGGGAAATGATAAAATCCATTAATCAGGATGGAACAGCAAGGAAATTAGAAAATCACAATACAATGAGGCTGCATCAATATGATTTTGTGAAAGAGGAATCATAAGGTGGATAGAGGGAAGTCAGTGGATAGAGTGTATTTGAGTTTCTAAAAGGCGTTCAGTAAGGGGTCACACAAGAGGCTACTGCAGAAGCTAGCGGATCGTAGTATTAAGGTGATATATTAATATGGATGAAGGCTAACCAACAGAAAATGGCCAATCAGAATAAATGCATCCTTTTCGGGTGCACAAAATGTAATGAGAGAAGTGCCACAGGGGCCTATGCTGGCCTATTTAAAATTTATATGAATGTCATGAATGAAGGATTGACTTTTATCATGGTAAAATTTGCTGACAATACAAAGATAAGTAGAAGAGTGAGTTGTGAGGAGGATAGAAAATGATTGCAAAGGGATGTAGACAGGTGTGAGATTTTTTACTTTGGTAGGAGGAATAGAAAACAGAATATTTTTAAATGGAAAGAGAATGCAACATGATATGGTACAGAAGGATTTGTATGGTTGTGTACATGATTCAGAAAATGTCAGCATGCAGATACAGCAAGTAAGTAGGAAAGGATATGTAGTTTCGGCTTTTCATGTAAGGAGGATAGAATATTAAAGTAAGAAAGTCTTTCTACAATTCTACAGCACAGTAAGACCACTCGTATAGTGCTGTGTACTATTTTGGGCTGCTTACTTGCAGAGTGATATAATTGCATTGGAAGCAGTTCAGACAGGGTTCACTGGATGCCGAGGCTAAAAGGACTGTTTTGTATGAAATGGTTAGGGTTGGCAGGTTGGACCTACGTACATTGGTGTTAAGAAGAATGAGAGTGTTTATTATAACGTATACAATTCTGAGAGGTGTTGACAGGGTGTACCCCCACATGGAGAAATGTAGAATGAGGAATGCATTTTAAAAATAAGGTATTTCCCATTTAAGATGATGAGAAGAAATTTCTTCTGTCAGAGGATAGTTGGCATTTGGACTTCTCTTCCTCAAAGAGCAGAGGAGATTGGATCATTGACTATTTCAGTGCTGAGCTAGACAGATTATTGGTCAACCGTAGAGTCCAGCGTTATGGGGGGCTAGCAGGAAAAAGTAGTTAAGATGATAATCAGATCACTCATAGTATTATTGAATGGTACAGGCACAAAGGGTTGAATAGCCTACTGCTGCTCCTACCTCTCATTAGCTTATGATCACAGCAGCCCTGAAGTCCATTGAACATACAATCTATGGCTGGGAACAACATTAATTTGGCAGACCTCTTTCACCAGTTGCAGAACCCTACTGTGAGAAACAAGGCCATTCAACCCATTGACTCCACACTGACCCTCTGAAGAACATCCCACCCAGATTCCTACCATATCCAATAACCCCACATTTACCAAGGCTAATCCATCTGGCCTACACATCCCTGAACACTACGGACAATTTCAGCATGTCCAATCAGCACATTTTTGAATTGTGGGAGGAAACTGGAGCACCCGGAGGAAACCCACACAATTGCCCAAGGTTGGACTTAAACCCACAACCCTGGTGCTGCAGAGGCAGCAGTGCTAACCACTGAGCCACCGTGCCACTCTTAACACAATTATTCTGCTATAAGTCAGTTTTAATGTGTTGACTTGTGTTTTCTAATTTAAGGAGTTGTGACTCAGCCTGCAGACACCATTCTGTACTGAAATCAGTGGTAGTGGGTGGGAATCCAACTGGAACTGCAGATTGTTAAAATCCCTGTCCTGAGTGTGTCAAATAGTTTACAGTGCTGTTGGGACCAGGGTTGTGAAATGTGACTTGGTACTTATCAGAATCGATTTGAGAGGATTAGGATGAGAGGTACTCATTAGATCTTCTTTGAATGTTAAGGAGAAACTCCACAAGACCTTATCTTTCTGGTAGATTACCTGATTAGTTATCTGCTTTGCTTTGTTGTTTTACCATGAGATCCATTTTAGAACATTTTAGAAAGCTTCACTTGACAGATTTGGTTTCTTGAAGTTCAATGAATATTTTTCATTAGTGGGAAGATTGGATGGTGCAAATGATGTTTTCTTCTCTGTCCCTTCCTCATGTTCTTATTGTATTTTGTCGAGTACACTGCATTCTGTACTGCTGGGATTAATGTTTATTCTGACTTTATTTCCACAGTGGTTGCAACTCACCTTATACGCCTAAATGTCTCAGGACATCTGGTGGCCTACATGCCTGGCTATTACCTCAAGTTCAACACTCAAACCTCAACAGCAGAATATGCAAAGCCAGCCTCTTCTACACATGTTGACATTCAATGGTACTTAAGGAGTCTGGGTGGAAAGCAGCCTTTTATTTATTGTTAGATCAGCATGTCTTATTGCAACTGTGTGATTCTTTGCAATTGGGAACATGTGAAACCAGGATGAGAATACAAGTTTTCTTTATCTCTCTTGTATGATTTTACAATAAACCCCCTACTCTAATCTCTGCTTCTGGTGACCTGGTAGGCAGACACATTGCCTGTGTTAACATTGAGTAGAAGATTACATTTTCAGTGTTTGGTTTGTGACATTACCATGATTTCAGTACCCCTGGGAAGGGAAATAACATCTACAGTTTCATTCAGTTGGCTCTGGTTCATCAATGATGTTTGGAAGATAAAGCAGTGAAGAAGGTTATCTAACAATACAGATAGATCTTGATCAATGGGCTGAGGAGTAGCAAATGGATTTTAATTTGGATAAATGTGAGCTATTGAATTTTGGTAATACAAATAAGGATAATACTTGTACAATTAATGATAAGGCCCTAGGTAAGTGTTGTAGAATAGACAGATGTAGAGGTTCAGGTATATAATTCGTTGAAATTTGCATCATAGGTAGACAGGGTGGTTAAGAACGTGCTTAGCATACTTGCATTCATTGCTAAGACCTTTGAGTAAACAGGTTGGGACATCATGTTGAGGTTGTACAGGATGTTGGTGAGGCCTCTTTTGGACTACTTTGTACAGTTCTGGTCGCCCTGTTATAGGAAGGATGTTAAACTGGAGAGGGTTCAGAAAAGATTTACCAGGATGTAGCCAGGAATGGAGGGTTGAGATATAAAAATAGACAGGAAAGACTGGGACTTTTTTCACTGGAGCGTAGGAGGTTGAGGGGTGACCTTATTGATGTTTATAAAATCATGAAGGGCACAGATAAGGTGAATGACGAGGCTGAGGGAATTCAAAACTATGGGACATACTTTTAAGGTGAGAGGAGAAAAATTTAAAAAGGACGTGAGGAGCAACATTTTTCCACAGAGAGTGGTTCATGTTGAAATGAACTGGCAGAAGAAGTGGTGGATGCAGGTATATTCACAACATTTGAAAGACATTTGGATAAGCACATGAATAGGAAAGGTTTGGAGGGATTTGGATCAAGTGCAGGCAGATGGGACTAATTTAGTTTGGGAACATGGTCACCATGGACTAGTTGGACCAAAGGGTCTGTTTCCGTGGTTTGTGACTCTTTGACTCTATGCTGCAGCTGAATAACTTGTGCCAAGCCATTAAATATTCTGGAGTGCTTGATGAAACATTAACTAAATTACTTACAAGCTTCTATATACGTTTATTATCCAGCAGACAAGTGATCAGCAATTTCTACCTTCCATTTTATCCCTAGTATGTACCTATTACAGCCGGATCAGGTTCAGGGAAGTTAGTACTGACAGTGGATCACAAATAATTCAGCCCCACACCAAAATACCCTCTGAACTGATATATGAGTGCCCAAACTCTATACACCCACTTGGTGGTTGAAGAAGTAGTAACACCACTCTTTCAGGGTAACTGGGATGGGCTCTTATTCATTTTTCTTTTACAAGCAAGAACAGCTTCTCCCTACCTCCTCTATCCAGCCCACACATGATTTTCAAAACCTATATTAAGTCTTCCTTTAGCCTACTTCTGTCCAAGGAGAACAGTCCCAACTCTTTCAGTTTATCCTTACAACTGAAATTTCTCATTCCTGGAACCATTCTTATAAATTGCCTGTACATTCTTTCTAGTGCATTCTTGTCTTTCCCATAATGTGGTGCCCACAACTATACATAGGGCTCTCTCTGAGGTCTAACAAGTATCTTGTACAACTCAGCATCATCTCCTTACTCTTGTATTCTATGTCTCTATTAATAAAATCGAAAACAGTGTATACTTTATTAAGTGCTCTCTATACCTGCCTGGCCATCTTCAATGACCTGTGTGCATTCACACCACGGTCCCTCTGCTCCTTCACCTCCTTTGAAATTGTAACCCCTATTTTATATTGTCTTTTAATGTTCTTCTCACCAAAGTGAACCATGTCACATTTTGTACATCTGAACCTCATCTTTCACCTATCTACCCACTCCATCATTTGTCGATGTCTTTTTGAAGTTCCACACACTGTCCTCCTCACAGATTACAATTCTTCCAGTTTAGTGTCATCTGCAAACTTTGAAATTGTCCTCTGGATACCACAGTTCACATCATTTTATATATATCAGGAAAAGCCAAGGTCCTAAGGAACTCTACTACAAACTTTCCTCCAGCCTTAAAAATATCCATTGACCCCCGTTACTCTCTGTTTCCTATCAATCAGCAATTTTGTATCCATGTTGCTACTGCCTGTTTTGTACCATGGCATACAACTTTCCTCACAAGTCTGTTGTGTGGCACTGTATCACATTTCTGGAAATCTGTGCATTATCACATCAACAGTGTTGGCCTCAGTGATCCTTTCTGTTACCTCTTCAAAAAACTCCAGCAAGTCAGTTGAACACAATTTCCCCTTTAGAAATCCTTGCTGCTTCTTCCTAACCAACCTGTGTTTTTCCTGTGATTACTAATTCTAACCTGAATAATTGTTTTTAAAGGCTTTCCCAATCACTGAGGTTAAACTAACTGATCTGTAATTGCTGGGATTATCCTAACAATCTTTCTTGGACAAGGCTGAAATGTTTACAATCCTCTAGTCTCCTGGCACCTTCCGTGAGCTGAGGAAAACTGAAAGATTATTGTCAGTGCACTCCCCACAATTTCTACTCTCACTTCATTCTAAATCCTTAGATGTATCCCAGTGCTTTGTCAACTTTAAGTGCCAGCAATCTATATAAAGACTTCTGTATTAATTTTGATCTCTTCTAGTGACAGAGTTTCTTCTTCTGTCATCTTGGCCTCGGCAGCATCCTCTTCTGTAAAGACAGATACAAAGTATTCATTTAACACCTCAGATACAGAGCCTCTGTCTCAATGTGTAAATGCTCTTTTTTGGTCTCTGATTGGCTGTACTCTTCCTTTAACTGTTCACTTACTGGTTTTATCTCTATAGAAGACTTTGGAATTTCCCTTTTTGTTACTTGCTGGTCTTTTCTTATAGTTTATCTTTGCGTCTCTTATTTGCTGTTTCACCTTCCCCTATACCTTCAATATTTCTGTTGGTTCTCAGTTGAATTTTCTGCCATACACGTGTCACAAGCGTACTGTTTCTTTCTAATGTTAATTTCTGCTTCCTTTGTCATCCAGTGAGCTCTGGATTTGTTTGCCTTACCTTTTCCATTAGAGGGAAAATACCTCAACTGTACCGGAACCATCCGGCATTTGAAGGTAGCCCATTATTCAGTTGCTGTTTTTTCTGCCAACCTCTTATTCCAGTTGATCCTGTTCAGCTCTGTTCTTGCCCCATTGAAATTTGCTCTCTGCCAGTCAATTGTCCTCACTCTGGATTGTTGCATGTCATTCTCTACCATCATTCTGAACCTTACAATGCGATAATCACTGTCTCCAAAATGTTCCCTCACTGACACTTAATCCATTTGGCAGACTTGATTTCCAAGGATCAGGTCCAATCATACACACTTTCATGTTGGAAAGGACACATACTGCACTATTAAACTCTCCAGAACACCATCTAGGAACACTTGCCCCTTACCGCTCCTTACACTGCCAGTATCTCTGCCTATATTTGGGTAATTGAAACCCCCCATTATAACTACTCTTTAAAGTTGACATTTCACTGTAATTTCCCTGCAGATTTGTTCCTCTACATCCTTTCCACTAGTTGGTGGCCTGTAGACTACACCAAATAATGTAATCGTGCCCTTTCAATTCCATAGCTCTGGACAAGTTCATTCTGTCCTTGAACCTCTGAGACATTCTTCCTTCTCCAGCATTGCAGTGTTCTCCTGAACCATTACTGCAACCCCTCCTCCTTCCCTTCCTTTGCTATCTTTGCTATCTTAATAACTTAATATCTAACTCCCTGACCTTACTATGCTCAATGCATTTACAAGCATACACATTTACTCTGTTTTGAACATCCTTTCTTTCTCCTCTACTCCAACTTCACCTATTAACTTACTTTGTCAATGCTGGGTCAGCTGTACCCCTAAGTATTAAGATAAGATATCCCTAAGACTTTTTTTCTCCCTTCATCCACCGATTCAATGTAAACTTGAACATTGGTGAAAGGCCAGAAAATGCTGCAAAAGTGGATTTGGCAGGGAACGCCAGTACTTAATTTTTCTCTCCCCAGTTATATTGTACGTTATTTAAATTGCAAAATACTGGAATATTGATCTGATAACAGTGCAGTGATGTGAATGTTGCATCTAAGGCCTCGTGAACATCATGCTCAATGGTTTTATTGCCTTAATCAGTGAAAATAATACTCAAGGTTTCAGGAGTTCCTCAGTGCAGCATCTAATGACCTTACTTGTTACCCTGGTCAAGGAGATAAAACTGAGTAAAGTGATCTCATTGCCTTAGCCAGTTAAAAAGAGACAAAGTGAATGATGAGAGAGGAAGTATGGTGAATTAGAGTCAAACAAAATTTAGAACAAACTATAAAAAAGAGGTAGCCATGGGTACCCGCATGGGCCCAAGCTACGCCTGCCTCTTTGTAGGTTACGTGGAACAATCCCTCTTCCGTACCTACACCGGCCCTAAACCCCACCTCTTCCTCCGTTACATTGATGACTGTATCGGCGCCGCCTCGTGCTCCCACGAGGAGCTCGAACAGTTCATACACTTCACTAACACCTTCCACCCCAACCTTAAGTTTACCTGGACCATCTCTAACACCTCTCTCCCCTTCCTGGACCTCTCTGTCTCCATATCGGGCAACCACCTAGAAACCGATATTCATTTCAAGCCCACCGACTCCCACAGCTACCTAGAATACTCCTCCTCCCACCCACCTTCCTGCAAAAATGCTATCCCCTATTCCCAATTCCTTCGCCTCCGCCGCATCTGCTCCCAGGATGAGGCATTCCACTCCCGTACATCTCAGTTGTCCTCGTTTTTCAAGGACCGTAACTTCCCCTCCTCGGTGGTCGAGAACGCCCTCAACCGTGTCTCCCACATCTCCCGCACCTCATCCCTCACACCCCGTCCACGCAATAAAAACCAAAAAAGAATCCCCCTCGTCCTCACGTACC